CCCCGAGCGCCCCCGGCTGCGCGCGGCTCCCGGGATCCCCGGCCTGGGCGCGGGCGGGCGGCCGGCAAAGTTGAGCCCGGGCCGCGGGCGGTGGGCGCTGCTGGCGCTACTGTTGCACTTGCTCCCGGCGCTGGCACAAGGTAGGTGGGTGCGCGGCCGCCGATGGCGCGGGCCTGGCCCGGACAGCCCCGAGGGGCACTTGTGGGCGACGCCTGGGATGCACTCGGACTTACGGGCGCCGTTCCGGGTGGGCTAGGGCTGCATACTCCAGGGCTGCGCTTTTGGAGTGCACAATCCCGAGGTGCACTTTGCGGGTGGCGCCTGGAGTGGGCTGCATCTGAGTGGACATCAGGCAGGGGTATGATCTGAGCTGGTTTGCGGGTGCACGGTACTGGGGTGACACCCCTGAGGTGCACTTTGTGGGTGGCACCTGGAGTGGGCTGCATCTGAGTGGACATCAGGCAGGTGGATGCCCTGGGCTGGTTTAGGGGTGCACAGTCCTGAGGTGCACTTTGTGGGCGGCACCTGGGTGGGCTGCGTCTGAGTGGACATCCCCGGGGTGACTTTGCAGGTGAATGCTTCCGAGTTGGTCTTTGGGGTTGCACGGTCTTGGGGTGACACCCCTGAGGTGCATTTTGTGGGTGCCATCTGGGATGGGCTGTATATGAGTGGACATCCTGGGGTGACTTTGCAGGTGGATGCCTCTGGGTTGGACAGTCCTGGGGTGACACCCTTGAGGTGGACATTGTGGGCGCCAGCTGAGATAAGCTTGGGTTGTGGGTGAGGCCCAGGGTGAGCTGCGGGGGGTCCACAATTCTGGGGTGCACACTCCTGAGTGGACTACTTGGGAGTGCTCTCCACTTGGGTGGGAGTATATAAATGCACACTCCAGGGATGGACCCCTGAAGTGGGCTTCACTGGGTTGAACAAGGGGGGCGGGCTGACATCCCTAGGGTGCTTGGGGTGCAGGCAACCTGGAGTAGGCTATGGGTAGACATTCTTGGGGTGTACTTTGGGGATGAACACTCCTGGGGTAGATGACCTGGGGTTGGCCTTGGATGTGCACATCACTCAGGGTGGACTCTAGGGATGAGCTCTGCTTAGCATGGACACCCTTTGGGTGTACTAAGGGAATGGACACCCCTGGGGTAGATTCGGGGTGTGCGCACCCTGTTGTGGACACCCCTAGTTTAGACTTTTCCGGTGCTTGGACTGACTTCGGGGTTGTGGGAGGCGACTGAAGGGCGCAGTGCTGGGAACTTTGAGAGCATTCAGGGCCTCCCACCTTCTGAATCACCGGGTCCGAGGCAGCTAAGGGGTTAATGCTGTGTGCCCTGTAATCCCAGCGTTAACTGGAGAGGGAAAACTGAGTAGCTGGAGAATGAGCCCTGTGCCTTGTGTGTTGAATTTTTTTCTTTTAAAGTGAAGCCGTGGAAAAACCTTTAAAGTTGAGACCTATCCGCTGCTGCTTCAAAGAACGCCCAGCCGTGTCCTGTGCGCTGATTAAACACGAGCTGATTTGTATCTGAGTCTGCACCACGAGAGAGTCTTGTTAACCATGAGTGACATCCGCGGTGGACTTCAAATATCAAATGCCAGTCACACCAGCTGCCCTTTCCCTCCCTCTCCCCAGGGTCTGTCCCCCCTCCTCCCAAGTCCAGAGGCCTCACCCCAAGTGGGTGCTCTGTAGTCGGTGGAGCAAAACTTTTGAGAGCCCAGAGCTTTGCCTCTGGGTATTAATTTCTTCCCTCTGTTGGACTCTGTTTAGAATACAGTGTTCTCTAAAATAAGGACAGATGATCTGCTGATGATTCCATTTTGAAAAATGAAAGGATTTCCCTTTCTTAACTGGAAGCATACCTTTAGTGTCCTCTTCCACTATGGTTGCTGGTTAAAAAAAAAGGCAGAAATAATCATGTTACTATGCCTTTTGATGAGGTCTTTAATAGACTAATGAACCTGTTTTGCTCTTGATGGCTTAGAAAAATTAACTTTGGAGTTGCTCTTGCCATAGCAAGGAATTGGGTATTCCCAGACTTCAGGAAATGGGAATATTATATACTTAAATCATTAATAGCTGTGCTGTATATGAAGATGAATTAAGTGTGGTAACAAATAATGAATTAAATGTAATCACACTTAAAGGTCTGAATTCAAAATTATGGTCAGAGCCTTAACTTACTAACAGCTTTTAAACGAATGCTTATCGAATGTTTTCTGAATTCTGGCCCTCCTACCATAACAGCCCCCCCCCCATGTTTTACTATTTGAAACAAATCTCAGTGTTTATGATTAATTTAACTCCTCCACTAGTCATATTTTCATTTCACTTTTTTTGTGCTGCTTTTTGCTTAAAGATTTAGTCTGGAAGAAATGCATTTATTAAGTCATTGTGTAAAATGGAATCTGTAGATTGTCAGAGAAGCCAAATTCAAGAGAAGTCAAGACCACTTAGGATGACCTTTAGAAATGGAGCTTCTCTTCTCTTCTCAAAAATAAAAGTGACTTTGACTTTGCAGTAACTTTTACATTTGAAGATTTGTGCACCAGTTTGAATGCAGGGGCAAAAAAACCTGCCAGAGCCATTGTTTTGAAGTCCATTGCACAGTGTTTCAGTTGCACTTTGAAGACCTTAAAACCTATTGCACTTTTGCAATTGAAATGTTCGTGGAAATCAGTAATTTTTATAAATAAATGTCCTAAAGTAACAGCCATAATTTATTAGGAAGAAATCTTTTATTCCTTCTTGCTGGTAAACACATTGGTACCTGTTTTACATTCATGTGGTTCAAGAAAGTGTGCAGATCTCTTAGTGTAAAATTTCAAATAGGTTGTCACAAATTTTAAATTCATTGACAGGTTTCTGTTCTTTGTGCTCTGTGAAATGTGTAATATATCCATCATTTTTTATATCATATTGGAAATTCATATTACAGAGGAGATGTCACCATTTGACAAACCCTCATGTATCTTGGAAATGAAAATTCTGGTGCTGCTGTGGAGGTTTCTGATGGGAGGATGAGTTGGCCATATGCACAGGAATGGGTTCTTTTGAATCTTATCAGATAAAATGTAGCATTCTGCATGCAACAGTTACCACTAAGCTGAAACTGTCATAATGCTGGTTTGATGCTGTGTAGCTAGGTGAAGCTTTCCTAATTTCTCTTTAAGCTTTTCCCTCTTAGGATACTTCACACTGGTCAGCCTGGTCATGATTTCTAGTAGGCAATAAGGACAACATGTTTAATAAAAGTTATATATGTATCCCTGAAGTCAGAAGCAGGGAGCACGTAGCTGGCCATTATGTGAGATACCAGGTTTGAATCTTGCAAATATAACTTCTGCTTGTACTGCAGTTTCTTCTCTGTGCGTGGTAATGAAAATTCCTGTTATATACTCTGCTTATCAGTGTGTGTTTAATTGTTCATGACTTGTCTGGATTTCTAAAAAGCCAAGTCATTAGTTCTGGAAGGCAGGTGGCAATGTGTGCTTTCTTTATGCTGTGCACCAGGAAACCAAGTATGAGTAAGGTTTAGAAAGATGGCTTCTGAGGCAAGGGATGTATCATACGTATCACAGATGTGAAGTCCTGGCGCCTTTAGTTTTACTGCTGGACCTTTTATAGGACCTTTTGATTCTAGTCATGTCCAATACACCTCATAGATTGAGCTTGAAATTGTAAGGTGAGAGGGACAGGATGTCTTGCGATATTAAGAATCTTTTTTTCTCTTGGGTTGGGGAGATGACTCAGTTGACAGAGTGCTTGCTTATGCAAACATGAGGACGAGAGTTCAGATCCCCAGCACCCATGTAAAAGTTGATAAGGAATCTTAGTCTTAGTGCTTGGGGAGGGGCAGGACTGAGACAGGCAGATCTCTGGAGCTCCTTGGTCAGCCAAGCCTAGCAGAATGTGGTAAGCTCCAAGTTTAGTGAAAAACCCCCGTCTCAAAAAATACAGTGTAGCTGGGTGCAGTTGTGCATGCCTTTAATCCCAGCACTCATGAGGCAGAGACAGGCGAATCTCTGTGAGGTAGAGGCTAGCCTGGTCTACATAGTGAGTTCCAGGCCAACTGGGGCTATAGGGAGACCCTGTCTCAAAACAAAAACAAAAAACCCAAACAGCAAAAAAATCAACCAGCCAAACAATAAAAAACCCAAACCAAAAAACAAACCAGTGTTATTTGCAGTCTCTTAGATAAGCTGTTCTCAAACACTATTATGCCTTAGAGTCAGGTGGGATATTGCAGGTTTAGAGGGCCACCTCCTTTTTTGCGTGCCAGCTTACCAGGTGAATCTCAAGCACCCTACCATTTGACAAGCACTGGCTACATTGCTTTGTTTTCTAGCCACCCCATCCCAGACTTTCTGAAAACTCCCTAGCCAGTGTTTCACAAACTTAGAATCAGCCAGGAGAGCTTTGATACCAACTCAGGATTTCACTTCCAGAGTTTGTTGTAGCTGACCCAAGGCTTGACCTGGGCAGTACACTATTGAGACTTCCCAATTGATAACTCACATGTGAGAGCCACTGTTGTAACCCATTCAAATGAGATCATATGACTTCCTTTTAATCTTGCCTGGACTCCTCCCCAAACCTCCAGATTCCAGGGACTTTTGTGCACTTGTGACCTGTGTTCACTCATATGTGATCTAGGTTTCTGATCTCACATTCTAGCCAGCTTTTAAAGCCCATATTGTGTTCATTGCTACTGAAACTGTTCAGCTTCTGATTTGTTCTACTCTTGGGATTGCACTAGAATCACTAGTAAAATAAATTTATTTGTTGAGACAGAGTTTCCAGTGATGCCCAAGCTCACCATAAACGCACTGTATAACTGAGGATGATCTTGAATTTCTGATTTTTTGGCCTCCACCTCCTGAGTGCTGGGATTCTGTATCGTGTGTGCCACCACACCCAGGTGAAATTAAAGAATACAGTTGCTGGGCCTCACCTCAAAGCTTCTAGGTCTCAGAAGCATGCATTTAAAAAGGCTTCATGGGTGCTTCTTGTATTTTCTTGTATTTTCTATCCTTGTGCTGGCCAATCCCATAATCTCACTCAGTTCTCTGGCACCCTTTCCCCTTTCCTTAGGCCATTTCCCAGCTGTGGGTTAGGTCTGCTAATTGTCCTGTCTGCCAC